TTGATAGTTTGCTATGGGTGTCATGTCCCCAGTAACTGGAGTTACAGACAGTGGTGAGCTGCCACGTGGGAGCCGGGATTGAACCCAGGTCCTCTGGAAGAGCAACCAGTGCTCTTAACTGCTGAGCCACCTCAGTTCCATTTCATCAAAACATTGCAGAAGACACATTTACCAGCAGGTCATAAAACATTTTTGAAAATTTAGCATATATTAGGTCACAAGCAAATATTTTAAAAATTTTGAAAAAAAATGAAATAATTAATTATATTCAATATAACCATAATAAACTGAAGCTCATAAAATAATGAAGATTATATAACACATCACAGAATGATAAATCAGTCACTACTAACAATCAAGTTGGAAATCAAATGAGTCTTAGAATTGAATAAAATACAAGACACAAAAACTTGTATATTACAATGAAAGCAATCTGAAGAAGGAAGTTTAGAGCTCTAAGTGCCAGCATGAAAGAGATGCCAATATCAGAGAGGCCTCAAATAAAATAACTTAATTATGCACATTAGGGCATTGGAAAAACAATTGCACACCAAATCTAAACATATTGGACATATAAAACCCATTAAGATTGTGGTATTAGTTAATAAAATAAAAACAAAAAAAATTGCAAAGAATCAATAAAACAAAAATTTCTCCCAAAAGATCGTTTGAGTATGATGAAGTCAATTACTTTTCAAATTATTTACATTTAATATATTCTTGGTCTATAAAGTTATTATATCTGTGAAGACTTTGGAATTACTGCAATGCTGAAGTATGTTTTTTAAAAGGTATTAAGTGGGAAGCCTTTCAATCTATGTCAAAATCTACTTCACTGACATAATAATAAAGCAGTGAATTATAAACAATTAAATTAACACAGTTGAGAAAAATACATTGATACTTCCACATAAAGTATAATGAACATGTATTATAACCAGCTATTATATCCAGACACTATTTTATATAAATGTGTTGGAAATATTTTTATTATCACTTTAGTAAAAAAAGTAAATATTTCAATTTTAGTTGGTTTTAAATGTGGAGCATGCAATTTCACAAAAAATAATATACAAGGTAACACATATATAAAGACAAATTTACCATTTTATGGTACATTCTGTCTTAGGGTTTCTACTGCAATTGAGGCTACCCCTTTCATCAGCGTCCTTTCCTAACCTCTCACAGCATCAAATCTCAGCATCTCCATGACCCCCTCATGCCTTCAAAACCATTATCAAGTGGAGTTGCCAGCACAAAGAAAAGCCTTGGCTCTCTCTGTGGTTCTATGTGCTGACCAGGAGAAAATATTTCCTAGATTTTGCCTCAGTTATCCCGGTCTCTTCTTAATCAGAGTTGATATTATTATCACAGATGACCAGGATAGATTGTCCCAACAAGGAAAGGTTTCACTATGGTTCTACTGCCTTGTTAGTCAGAGCCAATTCTTAATTCAAACTGACCAGAACCACAGATTCTTGGTTTTTCTTCAATTATTCTAGGTTTCCTTTTTTTTTTTGTTTTTGCATCCCACCGAAGTTTCCTCTCCCTTCCCTTCCTCTCCTCCGTTTAACCTCCCCTCACCTCCACCACCCTCATGATTCCTGCTCCCCTCTCCCATCCATTCCTTCTCCTCTGTTTCCTTCCCATACTGGCATAGACATCAGCCAGCCATAGTGTGTATATCAAGTCACAAATGAGACTAAGCACTTCCTCTTCTGTTAAGGCTGGACGAGGCAATCCGACAGGAGGAATGGATCTCAAAAGTAGGCAAGAAAGTCAGAGACAGCCTCTGATCTCACTATTAGGAGTCTCTCAAGATGACCAAGCTACATAATTGTAGTATATAAGCAGAGGGCCTAGGGAAATCCTTTGAGGCTCCCTAATTGTTGGTTCAGTCTCTATGAGCACCTATGAGCCCAGGTAGTTGGTTCTGTAGGTTTTCTTGTGGTGTACTTGATCCTACTGGGTCCTACAATCCTTCCTTCCCCTCTTCAGCAGGACTCTCTTCACTCCAGCTGATGTTTGGCCATGGATCTCTGTATCTGTTTCCATCAGTTGTTGGGTGAAGCCTCTCTGATATAATTGGGCTTAGAACCAATCTATGATTATAGCAGACTATCATTAGGAATCATTTCATTAACATTTTTTGCCATTCCTGTTTGGTTCTATCCTAGGTCTCTAGGTTATCCCACCTCTGGGTTCTGGCCCTCATGGGGGACCTCCCTCTCAGGGTGTGGGTCTCCAGCTAGGCCAGTCATTAGTTGGTCATTTGCACCACATACTCAGAGAAGGTAAGTAACAAGGAGGGCTCGAGGGTGGGGGAATGTATGAATCTCACTATGAGAGGGAAAATGGACATTGATAGTAGATGGAGTGGGTGCAGACTAGGAAGGAAGAATGAGGGTGGGAACAGGAGGGATCAGGTTTGGGGAGGACGGTGGTGGAGAGTACTGGGAGAGACAAGTGAAATCTGGGGCATCTGGGATGAGCTAGAATCATAGAGCAATGGAAATCTCTGTAATCAATGAGGATGACTCTAGTGAAAAACCCTAGCAAGAGGGGATAAGGAGCCTGAACCAGCCATCTCTTGTGACCAGGCAAGACTTCCTTCCAGTTGAGGGACTAGGACACCAAGCCAGTCACAAACCCTTCAACCTACAATGTGTCCTGCCTACAAGATGGGCTGTGGTAAAGATGGAACCACAGACTCTTAATTCAAAATATTGTAAATTATACCTGATAGAGTCTTTACTTCCCTCTGAGATGTATGTCACAACACAGGCCATCATCATCCACATTTTTTTCTTTTCTTTTTTTTTCTTTATTTTACAATACTATTCAGTTCTACACAATAGCCACAGATTCCCTTGTCCTCTCCCTTCCTGCCCCCTCCCCTTCCCCCCAGCACACCCCCCCATTCCCACCTCTTCCAGATCAAGGTCTCCCCCTAGGACTGAGATCGACCTGATAGACTCAGTCCAGGCAGGTACAGTCCCCTCCTCCCAGATTGAGCCAAGCGTCCCTGCATAAGTCCCAGGTTTCAAACAGCCAACTCATGCAACGAGCCCAGGACCTGGTACCACTGCCTAGATGCCTCCCAAACAGATCAAGCCAATCAACTGTCTCACCTATTCAGAGGGCCTGATCCAGTTGGGGGCCCCTCAGCCTTTGGTTCATACTTCATGTGTTTCCATTCATTTGGTTATTTGTCCCTGTGCTTTATCCAACCTTGGTTTCAACAATTCTCGCTCATATAAACCCTCCTCTTTCTCACTAATTAGACTCCCAGAGCTCCACCAAGGGCCTAGATCAGTAGCCCTCCTATATACAATGGACAAAGAAGCTGAGAAGGCAATTAGAGATACATCACCCTATACAATAGCCAAAAATGACATAAAATACCTTGGGGTAACACTAACCAAGCAAGTGAAGGACCTATATGACAAGAACTTTAAGTCCCTGAAAAAAGAAATTGAAGAAGATGTCAGAAAATGGAAAGATCTCCCATGCTCATGGATAGGCAGGGTTAACATACTAAAAATGGCAATCTTACCAAAAGCAATTTACAGATTCAATGCAATCCCCATCAAAATACCAACACAATTCTTCACAGACCTGGAAAGAATAATACTCAACTTCATATGGAAAAACAAAAAACCCCCAAAAGAATCCTGTACAATAAAACAACCTCTGGAGGCATCACAATACCTGACTTCAAGCTCTACTATAGAGCTACAGTAATAAAAACAGCTTGGTATTGGCATAAAAGCAGACATGTGGACCAATGGAATAGAATTGAAGACTCTGACATTAACCCACACACCTATGAACATATAATTTTTGACAAAGAAGCCAAAAGTGTACAATGGAAAAAAGAAAGCATCTTCAACAAATGGTGCTGGCATAACTGTATATCAATGTGTAGAAGGCTGCAAATAGATCCATATCTGTCACTGTGCACAAAACTTAAGTCCAAGTGGATCAAGGACCTCAACATAAATCCAGCTACTCTGAACCTCCTAGAAGAGAAAGTAGGAAGTAGTCTTGAACGCATTGGCATAGGAGATCACTTCCTAAATATCATCCACATTTTTATTTTTCAAGATCTTGCTGAATATCTCACTGAGCTCTAAGCATTCCATGGGTTTTCCTAACCCACAATTCAAGTGCAACCACAATCCTCCCTAAAATATGTGTATGGGTCTGTCACATACTACTAAAGTGAAATCATACTACTAAAAACTATTTTTATCTTAATTAATTTCTATTGCTGTGATAAAACACTATAACCAAAGTAACTTGCAGAGGAAAGTGTTTATTTCATCAAACAAATGTAGTCTATCATGAAGGGAAGTGAGGGCATGAACCTGAGGCAGGAGTCTAGAGTTAGTGACTGAAGCAGAGACCGTGCAGAAACTTTACTTAGTGGTTTGCTCCCTATTACTTCACCATTTTGCCTTTTTATATGCTATCTACCCAGGCTTGGTACTTCCCACAGTAGACTGGGCCAACGGATACATACACATTTCTGAAAAATTATGTACATTATAAATATGAATTATTTTCTTGATAAATGCTAAACATTTTTCACATTCTCATTAAATAAAGTTAAATTAAATTACAAGTTGTTGTTCATCAAAATAAATGTCAATAGTGACAAAAATTCATAAATAAGAAATATTGTGATATATAAAAATAAATTAGTTTATAGTACAGCCAAAAACATCCATCAATAAAATCGTAATAGAAGTTCATTATTTAGAAACAGGACAGAAAACAAAAAATTACAGAGGATGACAAGAGTGGAATGCCCAATAAACATGGAGATATGATTATCTTCAGTAACAATAAAGAAAACCAGAATTACAGTGACTACTACTAGTCTTGTATGCACTGCATACAAAAATACCTAGCTTCTCACAATGACAAGTATTGGTACAAATGTAGAACACTGGAACTCATACCTCTAAAACCGATTGCTGAATGTTTCTTTATCATTAGTAGCATGTTTAGTGAGGAGAAATTCTTATTATGTCTGTAGTGAACATGTTACTCCATAGCTTTGCCATGGCATTTTTAATCTCAAGGTTTCTCAGAGTGTATATTAAAGGATTCAACATGGGAGTGAAAATTGTATAAAATACAGTAATATATTTATCAATAGGAAAGTTGGAGACAGGTCTAACATACATGAAAATGCAGGGAACAAAGAAGAGGACAACCACCATGACATGGGAGCTGCAAGTGGACAGGGCTTTACGTCTCCCTTCCTGACTGTGAGTCTTAAGAGAGTTCAGAATGATTCCATATGAGCCAAGGAGAAGGATAAAGACCACTACAGACATTGCTCCATTATTTCCAACAACAGTGAGGCCAAGGAAGTAGGTGTCAGTGCATGCAAGGCCTAATAATGGGTACATGTCACAAGCAAAGTGGTCAATGACATTGGGTCCACAAAAAGGAAGTATATAAACAGAGATAACTTGAAGCAGAGCATGAGCCAATCCTCCAGCCCAGGAGGCCAAAAGCAAGAGAACGCAAACCTGTCGATTCATGATGGTCAAATAGTGCAGTGGCTTACAGATGGCCACATAGCGATCATAGGCCATCGCCACCAAAATGAAGACCTCAGCACCACCAAATAAGTGCTCCACAAAAAGCTGAACCAGACAAGCTGTGAAAGAGATGGTCTTTTTTTCACAAACTAAGTCTGTAAGCAACTTGGGCAAGATGGCAGTAGAATAAACAGCATCCATGAGTGACAGAAAAGCAAGAAAGAAGTACATTGGAGAGTCCAAGGAAGGGCTGGCAATCACTGTCCCCACAATGAGCAGGTTGCCCACCATCGTCACAATGTAGATGAGTAAAAACATGACAAACAATGCTTTTTGACCAGCAGGATCCTGAGTGAGACCCAGCAGGATAAACTCTGTAACGTTGCTTTTCTGTCCCATTTATTCTTCCATAAAGTTTGTTTCAGAGATATCCGTTCATGAGAACAGGATATGACATTAATTGTGATCAAAATCTACACTTCCATTCCACCAGAAGGCCTGTCTTCACCAATATCTTCTACATTGGTGAACCTCAGTGGTTCTTCAGTGACCACCTGTTGAGTTCCTCTTGGGGATTTTCCATAGTTCTGCTCTAATAATTTTGTAGATATTAGCATTTCTCTCAAATCCTCAGTTTATTTATATACAGAAGAGCAGACAAAGGTGTCTTTCTCATTCATACATTTAAAACTGGTTATTGAAAACACATTACATCACAAAAGATAGAAGAAGTATTACTCCTTTTAAGAATAATGCAAAGTAGTGATGTTAATAAAGCCTAGGACTATCAACCAGTATACATAGAGTGCTGACTCTTAGTATCTTAGAAGAAAATGTCACAATATGATCTGTGTGGTACCCAAAATAAGAATGGCCCTGGATCCTTCTTTCAATGCTATTATATCATTAACTATATACAGAGGAGGCATGTTATGTTTCAAAAGACTTCTATTCTTCAAATATATTTTATTCAATCTCAAAAGTCTTTTTGAACTGTATCAAATCGCTCTAACATTAATTTTCACAGTACCATCTGTAGCAATTCCTTTATCTGATTCTAATTGTCAAGGTTCTCCAGAGCTACAATTCTGTCCATTTCATCACTGTCTCTCAGATTTCTTAAACACATTTAAAGGGACAATAATTGTCCTACACATTTTTACCTGAAATGAATAACCCACAACTGTCACCGACTACTCTACTAGTTGATGCTTTTGTTTTCAGAACTCTTGTGATAAACTAGGTGATGAAATGGGAGCAATAGAAACTAAAAGATGGATAGTGATGCTTCTTAGGTCCTGAGCTGCTCAAGTAGAAATTCAGTGTCTATTTCCAGATCTCCAAATACAGAATGCTCAGAGAAACATTATAACTAGTATGGGAAGGCATGGCTATGGATCATTTACTAAACATGTTACAAACATGGCTCCATTTATACTTTTTAAGTTAAAGAAATTAGACGACATGATTTAAGAGGTTTCCTAGTCTGTCTCCAGCACCATTAGTTCAAAACTAGCTTTTTTATGATGCTGTCATAGTTTTCTTTTTTCACACTTATTTAATCAATCTGTAAGCTTATATTTACTATATCAATATTGCTAATTAGTAATAAATGAGATATGATAATTACACTAAATAGTGACTCTAGATTTATTATTCATAATGTACCATGAAATAATCCCAGACACACTTTGAAAAAGAGAGAGTAGCACAGTGGTGAATTCTACAGACTCTGGGTCATGTGCTGGTGTTACAGTGTCAAGATCACTCACTTACTACCTATATTGTCTTACTACAGGGAACTACAATATCTGCATGCTAGGGTGCTTTGTTTGGTTTTGAGTTTTCTTCTTGCTCTGCTCACTACTTGTGACATCCAAATGAATGTTATCTATTAGTAATGCTGTTTTTCTGTCACAGTATCAGTTACAAGAAACCATGAGAATCTCTGTTAATGATTTTTACAAACATACTCCTGAGTAGAAAAAAATAGTCCCTGAGTGCCTCATGATCAACAGTTAGGACACAGGTTAAGAGGATATTAGAAATTTTGCAGTCTATTACATTTAAGTGCTCACAACAGTTACCTGTGAAGGAATATGTCAATGTGAAACTAGCAAGGGAAAACTCATCTACATGATTTAATAGGGGGTAAGGCCACATGCAGAGTCTTCACTTCCTTCAACTGGCAGCTATGATAAACCTTCTGCACGATTCAAAAATATTTCTATTATTACCTGATATAGAAGATCTACAGTTGCCGTACTTGAAGCTTCAGACTGTTGCAGACACACATATACTAGAGCATAAGCATAGAAAAACATCCAGTTCTGTAACTTTCACACCTATTTTCTGTATGTGTTAGCACATTTCTTTCTTTAATCAGCACTGGGTTCCAACAGAACAAATTTTCTTGAAGCCAATATAGTTATTATACAACACAATGAGAACAGTGTCCTTCAGCCACATCATATTTAAACTCATGTAAACTATACTATAGACTATTAAAGATATTATTCCATAAAAATTAGAAACTATGAATGCTTTCCATTTAAATTGCTGTTAATTATTTTAAGAAAATTTATTAATTAAATAGACATTAATATCTTTTTTAAAACACAGTTCTATATCTGGAAACTTTTTCAACCATAAAGAAAAATGAAGCTACATCCTTTATATGAATACTAATGCAACTGGAAATGATTATATTAAGCAAATTAAGTCCATATCTGAAGCACTAACATTCCATATTTTTTAATTATTGATCCCTAATTTTAATACAAATGTAAATTCAGATATGTATAGGTTATATGAAGGTAAATTGAAGCTCTCTTAATAAAGGATATAAGTGAGGCAGAAGGGTGAAAGGAATGTAAATTGATGGTTATGGAGGAAATAGGCTCAAAGTGCATTATATATTTACTAGAAAATTATCTTACAAAAGTCAGCACAATAAAATTTAACATTTTTAATTTTTAAGTAAAATACTTTATAAAATCAACATAACAAATCTAAGTGAATGAGGTACTTCACTATAGATTACTCTTTACATACATACTATCATACTGAATAATTTTAGCTACATGCAAAAGCACATATACAAATGACAGATTGTATATATATATATATATATATATATATATATATATATATATGTATTGTATATGTGTATAGCTCAAAGAGAGAGTAGAGAGTAGCTACTAGATGGATATTTGTTTCCTCACATGCTAAGCACTTGGAATGATATGCAGTTCTAAATATCTTCATTTAGATGTATTTAAAAATAATTACACATCTTTGTTAATGCATCCTACATAATATGTGCAATGAAATAAAATAAATCCGATACTGTTTTTAATATGTAAAATGATTTTCACTCTTTATTTCATAAAATAGAAAGTGAAATGAATTATTCTATAATAAAAATACTTCGTATATTCTGACTTTGTGTGTGTAATTTTGTTTAATCTTCCTAATTTATATATTTCCTATGGTAATATATGACCTTTAAGACATTGGAAAAGGAATATTTAAGTTATCTGTTTTGTTGCTGGCATAAACATACACCTTAGGTCTAATTTTTGTTCTGAAAAATAAAGGGTCATTTACTGCATTGATTGATCACAAATTCTTCATATGCTTATGATTCTTTGAGAACACATGGTAACTTACAGCTGTTCAGTAAACACAGAAAGATTATCAAGTGACTGCACCCAGTACATTTCCACAAGACTTCCCTTAATCTCAGTCTTTTTGAAAGATATAAGTGTATCCAAGCAAATATCTAAAATCAAGGAACATTTAAATATAACATCAACTTACTGTAAAAGACAGTTAGATTGTCTCATCTTCTGGGGAGATATCTTCCAGAAGAAAACAAAGGATTTGTGTTTATGCAAGTATGTAAAAAGTTAATAGAATAAATGGAATATTAATTTGTCAAACTCCATTATTTTCTACACAAAAATATTGATATCTAAATTAATTATGTAAATTTTTCTCATTTCAGCCTATGAAGTGAGGCACTCAAAAGAGATCTTGCTTTAAAGAGGTTCAATAGCATTGACATCACTCAAAAGTATAGTAGTACTTAACATTACAAAGGTAATGGTTTAAATTTTGAAACACTGATGATGAATTCCCATAAGTAAAAGAAGTCTTCCGTCTTTAAATATCTTGAAGTAGAAATTCACTAAGTTCAATTCCTTTCTGTTTAGAAACATGTCTTTTTATGTAGAAGGTCCAAGAAAACTGAAACCATCTACAGACTTTCATAAATAACGATAAGCACTACAAAAACCATAGTATATCAAGAACTAAATATCAAATGAAAGCATTCTCAACCTTGGCAGTCTTTTGAGTTTTCAAAAGCCTTTAGATCACTTAATTAGGAAATAGTTGTTCCATTTATATTTGCTCTATGGGCACATTTATTTTTGTAGATAAGCTAGTTAAAATATTTGGAACAAATTCAAATGAAGCAATGACTCTTGAACAGGCTTCTTCACTTCTGTAATCCCTGGAGATAAGAGCCTCAGATCTTGCCAACAATGAGTAGCTGTTCCAAAAATGATTTGGAAAACCTATAATGTGAAAAGAAAATTTCCAAGGTGCAATGTATAGGAACTGTGAGTTGCACATCATGATGAATTTACAATAGACAAGTAATAATTAAATCAGGCTGAAATGGCAGCAGCCTTGGTATAGTTAAGGACACCACAGCAAACACAGTCTCAATCAGTTTAAAAAAAAAAAACCTTGAGGTACAGTGGCTGAGAGTTGGACCTTCTTCATCTCTTGGTGCTGAAAATTAATGTTCTAACTTTGGGAGAAACAAAGCTTTTGGTTAAGGCTTGAATTCGTATGAGATGGAACCATAATGATCTTCATTCTTTTTATCTTATCCTTCAATTTCTGTCCAATATTAAACAATTGTTGCTATTAGAAAAACATTGTTATTTTCCTAAAATTGACAGTGTTAAAGACCTTCCAATACAATCTCTTATTTTAGTTTGTCATCAATCCAGTGAGCACATATACTCCAAACAGTTAGAAACATATTGGTTCTTCTGTGCCATAAAGCCTAGATGTGAGCTACAACAGTTAGGTGATGGACTTATTAAACAATAGCATTTTAAATTTTATGGAACAAATGGATTAAATCCTGTAATGTCAAATGTGTTATTTGCAACATAAAAAAAAACATCTCTAGACTTTGTGCTTTTTAAAAATAATTTTTATTATTTCATTGACAATTTCATAAGTGTGCACAATAGGTTTTGAACAGGTTCTCACCCACTGCATCCCTCTAACTCTTCCTAGGACCCCACCACCACATAAATCTCCCAACTTTACATCTTATTTATTTATTTATTTGTTTGTTTGTTTGTTTATTTACTTATTTATTTTTTATACATCTCACTGTAGTGGGTAGCCATTCCAGCTTTGATGTGGAAGTTCCGACCCCCATTGAGACTTTGGCAACTGTC